CTATGCCTGGCTTTGTCTTTCCATTTTTTAAAATTGAGCTATTTCCATGCAAAGTTTCTGACAGTTTCTGACTGTTTCTTTATAATTATCTTTTTTTCTCTGAGTTCCATGTGCCTTAATGGAGTTTTCTCTCCAATTTGGTTGTATTTTCTCTTTTATTATCTTCTCCAAATCTTTACTTTGGGTTACTTACCCTGCAGGTTAATTCTACATGGGGGTAATAGTCCAGTCGGTGAGCAATGTGCGAGTCAATTCTACCTTGTGAAAGTGTCTGATTCACTTCTCAGAGTGCAGGCTTTGAAATGGAGCTTGCCATCGCATCTGTGGATCTCACTTAGCACATTGCAAAACTGATGCATTATTTCCCATTTGCAGGACTCTACATGACCAAACCAGAGTTCATCTTTAAGTGGGAGCTTAGATTCGGGCCATGGACCATAGCAGGAGCCTCAATTTGATGCCTCCCAGGTCAGTCAATTCGTACGGCACAAGGGGATCAACATGAAGAGAGTGCATCATATATTGGTTGTTGAGCTGTTTTTATACCCAAACTATCCCTATAGGTAGCTAGTCCTGTGATTCAGACATGTGTTTTCGGCAGTTTCTGAAGAGGTTCTCCATGTTTACACATCCCCCAGTTTCTGCTATTGAAGTGTTTTTTTCTTAGGTTTGTTAAAATTTCAGTCCTGTGGTTCTCAACCTGGGGTTACGACCCCTCTGAGGGTTGAATGACCCTTTCATAAGGGTCACCTAAGACTATCGGAAAACACAGACATTTACATTATGATTCATAACAGTAGAAAATTACAGTGGTGAAGTAGCAACGAAAATAATTTTATGGTTGGGGGTCACCACAACATGGGGAACTGTATTAAAGCATTAGGCAGCATTAGGAAGGTTGAGAACCACTGACTTAGATGTTTTTATTAGTTAGTCACTATATCTAAATTCTCACCCTTTTAAAATTAAGCAGTTGCTAACATGTTCTTTCAACACTTGCTTTTGATCCCTAATTATTCTTTGTAACTGTGGTGGTAATACCAATAGTAATCACATAGACAACTCTTTTATTCTTTCTTTCTTTCCTTTTTTTCTTTTTCCAAGACAGGGTTTCTCTGTGTAGTCCTGACACCCACTTTGTAGACCAGGCTGGTCTTGAACTCAAGACATTCTCTACCTCTCAAGTGCTGGGATTAAAGGAGTGTGCCCACATGCCCAGCACACAGACGACTCTTAGAGTCATCTTACATTCATTAAAAGAAAAGCGAATCAAAGATATGAAGATTATGGTGACACAGAGTTCAGAGAATATTTGCTAGGAAGAGGGAAAAAAAAGTAGGTATGAAGTTTCATTTTAAGAAGAGTGTAAACTGAACTCTGTGTTAAGGAATTGTTTATTTATTTTAGTTTAAATTGCACTTAACTATTTTTCAAATTTGGCACATCACGCTTGATTCTTGGATGGTGGTATTTTTAATATCATTTTCTATGTTCAGAAAGTGAATGCCAGTGTTGAAACCAGCCTTGAAAATCAAGAGAAGGACTTGTGGCAAATAGAATAAAAAAGCAGTACATCAAATGAAGACTGGTGACTTGGGTAATATATTGACTGTGAGCTCTCAAACCACATTTCAGATGTGAACACAGAGAATGGAAGCTCTTCTGGGATGTGGGAGTTCTCTGAGTGTGCCCAGCCAGCTGTGGGCTGGAGAAGGCCAGCTTTCATCTTTTGGATAAAATGCAGATTGTAAGCATGAGGGTGAGGAGAAAGGAACTTGGGAAGAAAACAAGACAACTGAGAACCTGTGTGTTGGCTTTTCAAAGAAGTGTCACCAAACCTGGCACTTTTATAACCTCTGATGTCCTGACCATCTCCATAACAAGGTCCAAGATTCATGGTGTTATACACAATGTGTTTGATGAGGGATATCACCAAAATCAGAGTAATCTTACTGACACTTCAAGAGATTTCATATTCAAGATGCCTTCAGTAGATTCAATCAATGTTAGAAGTCCTTTTAAAGGTAGCATTTAATGCCCAAAACATGAAAAATATAAGGAAGCAACTCATTAAATTTGATGTGTGTGGATTAATGTTCTAAGATGGAACAGAGAAAATGGCAAGCACACACATAAGAGAAATAGTGTAAATATACTTATTCTGAGAAATCTTTTATTAAGTAGTTGTACATCAGAAAACATTAGGGTATATGTGCTAGGAAAAGGCCCTGTGAGTATAAGGAATGTAAGTATTTTTTTTTTATGTCTTGAGTCAGAACTAAAAGTTCAACAGGAAATCTCCTAAGGGAGAAAAATCCTGTGAATATAAAGCATATGTGAAAATGTATAACCAGATGTCACAGCTCTGCAGGAATCAGAAATCTTGCACACACACACACACACACACACACACACACACACACACACACCACTTCTTTGTGTAGCCTGTAACTGTCCTGTAACTAGCTCTGTAAACCAGGCTGGCTTCGAACTCACAGAGATCCATCCACCTGCATCTGCCTCCCGAGTGATGGCATTAAAGGCACATTTAAAATAGATAGGAAAGCTTTCTATTATAAATCAGACCCCACTAAACATCAGAAATCTTAGAACGGGGAGAAGCCTATGAATTTACAGAGTGTTAGCAAAGTATTCAATTTGAAGTTAGCCCTCACTTTTCATCAGAGAACACATACAGGAAGAAACCTTGTGAATGAAAAGAAGGCAAGAAAACTGCTCACTTCAAGTCACAACTCCCTGTGTATCAGAGAATTCATGCAGTTGGAAGCATGCAAGAAATGCATGTGGAGGATGCAAGAACACTCTCTCTTGGAGTCACAGCTCTGTACGTCAGAAGAGTCAGACAGGTCATAAGCCACATGAATGAAGTTTTCTTGAACAAGGCAGATGCCATTTGACATCAAGGAATTCATGCATTCGAGGAGCCTTATGACTATGAAGAATGTGAAGGCCATGTATCTACATTGTAAACGCCACACAGGTGAGAAGCCCTATGCATGTAAAGACTGTAGGACAGCTTTCTTCTACAGTAAGTCAGAACTCAGAAGTAATTCATAAGGCAGGAACCCTCTTGGATGTAAAGGATGCAGGAAATATTTCTCTGTCAGGTCAACACCCTATGGATACAAAGAACATGGGAAAATATTCTGCCAGAAAACAAGCTTCTCCCTACATCAGAGAATAATATGTACAGGAGAGAAACCCTCTGACTGTAAGGAAAACAAAATCTTTCTGCTCAGTCAAAATTCACTGTACATCAGAGAACACACATACACATATACCCTATGAATATAAATAATGCAGAAAAGCTTTCTTTAGCAAGTCACAACTCACTGTACTTCAGAGAGCTCGTACGGGTTAGAAACCATTTGAAGACAGAATGTAGGAAGGCATTCAGCTCAAGCCAGGCCCATTGTCTCTTTGCTCCTACTGCCTGCAAATTCAGATGTAGAACTCCCAGCTATTATGTCTGTCTGCATGCCACCATGTTCCCAAACATGATGAGAATGGACCAAACCTCTGAAACTGTAAGCAATACCAAATTAAATGTTTCATCACAGCAATCGTAACCCTAAGATAACACTCAGGCAAAGAGCATGGGAAATTTTTAAAAAATGTAAAAGGGACATGCAAGAATTGTCAGATACCATGAAAATACCATAATCTTCAAATTATAGGCATAGACAAAAGTGATGAATCCCAGGTCAATGGCATAGACCAGATCTTCCACAGGATCATATAAAAACACTTGACCAAATTAAGGAAAGACATACTCATACAGATACAAGAAGCACACAGACCACCAAACAGACAAGACTAGAAAAGAAGCTCCCTGTGGCATGTTACAGTTTGGACACTAAACATATATCATAAGAACTGGACAGCAGCTTGCATCTGTTTTACGTAAGAGAAAACCAACGAGAAATGCTACTACAGGCAGTTTCTGTCATCTGTACTCTGTACCTCTTCAGTTTTCTTCATCTTTCTCTTAGCATAAAAACACCCCAAGTTCCAAATCCTGGAGCAAGGATAAAGCCTTGAGCATGGGCACAGTGTGCAAGATAAAAGGGAAGAAACTGTGTTGGACAGTAGGAGATGGTGAAGATGTGTTGCATAATAGGAACTGGGTGCAATTGTATAGAAAAGTAGGAGAAGGGTTAAAGTGTGTTCTACAATCGAAGTGTTTTGAGCAATAGGAGATGGATGGAAGTGTGTTGGAGAGTAGGGGATGGGTAGAAGAGTGCTGGGTGTTGGAGAGTAGGGGATGGGTAGAAGTGTGTTTGACAGTAGGAAATGATCGAAAGTGTATTCTGCAGTAGAAGGATAAAAGTGTGTTGGAGAGTAGGAGGAAGGTCTCAGTGTGTTGGAGAGTAGGAGACGCATGAAAGTGTGTTGGAGGTAAAAAGACACAAAACTCATTACTTATGGCTGCATCCACTTCGGAGAGGTATTGGTAAGGTCCACGAGAAGTGAATTCTGTTTTCTGTATCTGAGGATGAGTCTTCCAAGAGGCCAGTTTCAGTGAGGTAATGAGAGTCACATCAGGGCTTGTTCCTGAATCATTCCTAAGGTGGCTAATTCTATGAAGCTGAGCCCGCAGGCAGGGCTGTACGGTAGATGTAGGTCATAGCATCATTTCTAGAACAATAAAGGCTCTGGAAGACCAGGCTCTATGCACAAGCTAATACCAACAGTGTTGGAAGTAAGCTGGAATCTTCTATCAGAATGTACTGAAGTTGATAGAAGCACAGTACAAGCCAGCCAGTTATACATGGCCTGATGCGAGGAGACAAGCTGTAACAGAATGTAGGGACAATAGTCGAACATGCATATCAGGCTCCATTGCATGCACCTGAGTGTACACTTGCACACATTCACATGAACACACACACACACACACACACACACACACACACACACACACACACACACACGCACACACACACACACACACAGACAAAATGGTCCCATCACAGATATCATTGAGTATATTTGTGTGGGTTTAGGTTAACTTTATTGATGAGAATTCATATTAATGCCAATGATATAACTGTCAGCTTCATAGAATTCAGTGCAGGTACCATGGTAGCATGTGTCTATGATCTCTGCATTTGGAAGGCAAAGGCAGGAGCATCTCTGAGTTCCAGGCCAGTTGGAACTACAAAGTGAGAATCTGTGTCAAAACCGGAACCACCAGAAAAGAATCCAGTATAGAGAAATTTCTCACATCACTGAATAACATTGAAACCCGTGAACAGAAGTCCAGGTCCCGTGATAGCTGCTGTCAGTTCATCCTCAATCTTAAAACTCATTTAGGTCTGTCGTCAGTTTTGCTTGTACAACCATTAAGACTATTCTTTGATAGTATGTGTAAAGCTGGACCCTTGGCAGAGAATAGAGACAAAATTATAAAGTATTTCTAGGAATGCTGTGGAAGTTTGGCAAAAGCAAGAATACTTAATTATTTATTTATTTTAGAGACAAGGTTTCTCTGTATTGCTTTGGAGGCCTTCCTGGAACTCTCTGTTTACTAGGCTGTTCTCCAACTCACAGAGATCCACCTGCCTCTGCCTCCTGAGTGCTGGGATTAGAGGTGTGCGCCACCAACGCCCAGCAAGAATACAGCTTTTAATACTGTGCGGTAAATGTGCCTGAAAACATACTGAGACAAGCCATGTGCATAATACTAAGAAAAGGCTTGAGGTTACCCTGGGGGACTGGTCACTGTGGCCTTCACCCTAACAGGGTTCTTTGTGACTGATCTATTGTAACTGTTACATTGGAATTAACACCACAGTCACTGGTTGTTGGGGAGGAAAAAGGAATTAACTTGAATTGAGCTCTTAGATGAGTTAAGTTTCATATGGAATAAGCCCGTTCTTCATAGAATACCCCATCCCGGAGTCTGGCTTGCCTGCAGGACTCATTGATGTTTGCTAACTACAGAAGTGCACACTCTCCTAAGTAGCAAAGCTGGAGGGGCAAATGGGTAGTTGTACAATCAAACAAAAAAAATGACTTAAAAAATCTCAATATTCACTTGACTATGGGAAAGGAGGATTGCCCTTGGAAGAACAGGGGATTTTTCCAGAGGTTGTGAAATAGTAAATGTTTGCATACATTCGTATCTCAGAATGGCAGTTTGTTCTGTTTCAAGGTGAGCCTGGCTAAGGAGGTGCTGTGCTCAGGAGCCTGTAGTTTCAGAACAGGAAGGCATAAAGAAAGGCTAGTCCTTCGAGGCCAGCCCCTAACTGGGTCACAGTGATAGCCGCAGACTGCCCTGAGCTGGGAGCTCTGCCTTAGAATACCTGCTGACAGGAACTTGTCTTTCCTGCTTCATTCCCCCATGGGTTTGTGCCATCTGCTGTTACTCAGAGTCTGAGGGGGTGAGGACCGAAACCCGATCCAGCACAAAGGTGAGGAATGTCCAGTCAGGTGTAAGGATAGTAGGACTGGCAGTCACTGTCTTCAAACAAACCATCATGTGATCTCTCATCAGGTTCATCTTGATCAAGCGGCTCTAATGCCACTTCTGTTTCCCATTGACATGCTGCTCCCTTGAGAACTGTAGCGAGGACGCTGGGTGTCCTGGAACCCAGAAATGGTGAGTCTATGGCACGTCCCTAGCAAGGATCACAGGCCTGATCATTCTGTGGCTTTCTTAGTTATATCACACTAAGTATATAATTTACACCATGGCTTGATGAATAAACAAAATTTGAAAAATGGGGGGGGGGGCTGGAGAAATGGCTCAGTGGTTAAGAACACTAGCTGGTCTTCCAGAGGTCCTGAGTTCAATTCCCAGCAACCACATGATGGCTCACAACCATCTGAAATGAGATCTGCTGCCCTCTTCTGGCCTGCAGGGATCCATGTGGACAGAACACTGTATACATGATAAATAAATAAAATCTTAAAAAAAAAAATTGAAAAATGGGTTTTCTTTGGGGTGGGGACCCTGGTAGGTTACCCATGCTCCAGTGGATGGCTCCACCCCCATGCACATCATGATTCTAGCTTGTGCCAGTTGACATAAAACTAGTCAGGACAATTGACCCCTTGTCAACCTGACACATAAGTACATCACTGTGAAACCATAACCTTTCCTTTCTTGTCCCTGAAACATTATTTTAATATGACAACATGAAACATTCTGACTCCCTCCCCTGACACAGGGCTTCTCTGTGTCACTCTGGCTGTCTACTCACTTTGTAGGCAGTCTGGCGTTGAACTTGAGATCTGTCCATCTCTGTCTCCTGGGTACTAGGATTAAAGGCATGTGCTGCCATGCCCTGCCCATTCTGACTTTTAAAGTTTCACAGTCTTTACCAATTCAAACACTTTATATGTTCAGTCTTTTTAAAATATCTAAAGCCTTTATAAAATATGTAAAGTCTCTGTGGGCTTTTGAAAAAGAAAAAAATAAGTTAAATGCCTTCTTACTTCAAGAAGGAAGAACTAGGGCACAGTCACAATCAGATCAAAGCAAAACCAAAGTCCAATAGCATAAACTGTTAGGTGTTTGACATCTGGGACTCACTCACCATCCTCTGTGCTCCAGTGGGCCATGGCTGTATCACCTCTCCCGCTCTCATCCTCCACAGCAAACACAGATTGTTTCCTAGGCTCAGCTTGTCTTCAAACCTGGATTTAATAAATTTCTAGTAAAACAAAAATAAATACGTCAGAAAGAGTAAGCACAGATTAATTACTTAGTTATATAATACAAGAATTTGGAAAAAAAGATTAACAAATCAAATCTAATAGCTGGGGAAAATTATAAAATCAGAGCAGAAATTAATGAAGTAGAAAGAATGAAAACAATATAAAGATTGACAAATCTAAGAGCTGATTCTCTGAGAAAAATGAATGAGATTGACAGACCCTTGGCCCAAAGAACCAAACAAAACAGGACCCAAGTGAGCAGAATCAGAAATGAATGGGACAGCATTAAAACAGACACCAAAGAAATCCAGAGGACTGTAAAGGAGTACTTTAGAAATGTGTGCTTCATTGGTGGCACATGCCTTTAATCCCAGCACTCGGGGGGCAGAGGCAGGTGGATCTCTGTGAGTTCGAGGCCAGCCTGTTTTCCAGAGTGAGTGCCAGGATAGGCTCCAAAGCTACACAGAGAAATCCCGTCTCGAAAAACAAAACAAAAACAAAAAAAAAAAAAAAAGAAAGAAAAAGAAAAAGAAAAAGAAAATGTGTGCTCCATTAGGGTAGAAAACCTAAAGGAATCGATGAGTTCCAAGATTCATCTAAGCCACCAAAGTTAAACTGAGAAAAGATCAAAGAACCTAAACAGACCCATAAAAGTATGGAAATCAAAAGGCTAATAAAGAGCCATCAGACTAAAAGAATTCCAGGGTCCAGATGGATTCTGTGGTGTTTGAATGAGAAATGATCCCCCCCCCACCAGTCTTGGGCATTTGAACCCTTGGACTCTAGTTAGCAGTGTTCTCTGTGGAGGTGGAGGTGGAGGTGATATAGCCTTGCTAGAGAAAATATGCCACTACTGACCTACTTCTCATTCCCTCTCCTTGCCTGAAGATGTGAGCTCTCAGCTTTCTGCTTCTGCTGGCATGCCTTCTGCTTGCTGTATGCTGTCCTTGCCATTATGACCCTTAACTCCCTGGAATAAAGCCAAACTAAACTCTATATATTGCCTTTGTCATAGTGTTTTGTTACTGCTGCAGAGAAGTAACTAATAAATATTAATAGCAGGATTCAGTTGGACTTTTAAAGATCTACTGTAGGGGAACCTGTAGCCACACCTCGAAGGGCGTGGCCAGGGTGATGTAGAGTGAGAGGGTCAGGGCTGCGTTTCGCTTTCGTTTCCCCCTTTTCGGCTTGGGTACAGACTGCTGTCATGCTGGCTGGCTAGGTGGCTCTGTAAATAAGGCTTTTCCCTATTAAATACCCTTATATTTCTACTTGGCTCCATATTGGTAATTTCCCACTATAATCTACAATCAACATTTCTTACATTCTTTTTAAAAAGCAAAAGGAATGCTTCCATACTTCTTCCAAAACCAGGTAAATAGAAACAAAAGAAAAGCCAGCAGACCATTATCCCTGATGAGCATAGATGAAAAACTCCTTAATAAAATACTTATAAACTGAAGACAGGCATAAATTAAAAAGATCATCCACCATGATTAAGTTGGCTTTATTCCAGCAATCTAGGGGATGGTTCAGCATATATAAGTTAATTAATTCAGTAAGTATATAAGTGGACTTACAAAAGCATATAAAAGTAGGAAAACAAAATGATCGTCTATCTCAGTAGAAGCAGAAAGGCCTTTGACAATATCCAACATGCCTTCAAGATAAAAGAATAGGACTAGCGGAAACATATCTCAACATAAAAGCTATATATGATAAACCTATGGTCAACTTTATTCTAAATGGATTTCTAGAAAAATGAAAGAAATTAAAGAGATATATAAGAAAAGTAGTTAAATTATCCTTATTTGCAGATGATGTGATACAATGTATAAGAGGTGCCAAGAATTCTACCAGACAGTTTCTATAGTGATCAACACTTTCAGCAAAGTCTCAGGAAACAAAATCAACTTAAAAACTAGTAGCTTCCATGGCCCTACAGCAATGTCTGTTGATGGAACTCCCCGCTTCAAACTTTGCATGTCCAATGTTTTTTCCCTCTCCTGCCCTGATCCCTTGGGATGAAGCCAGTGGAAACAAACATTGTGTGTAGAACTCCCACATTTTATGTATGCTCTAGATGCACTCATGTGGATGGAACAGCAGAGTTTAGGTAACCTGTCTTTCTCTCTTCAGGGCGATGTTAGTGGTTTGGAATTGTATGAGTAGAGCTCATACCTTTGTATGCCTGGTGATTTCAAACTCGTTTATATGGTTGTTCTCTAAATTATAATGAATATAGAAGTCTGACGGTCCATGTGTACTTTTCAGAAGGGCCTGGGATATATGTATATCTTTATTGTTTGTGTCCATGGATAGAGTAAAAATCAAGTTTCTACTATTTAGGGCCCTTAAAACATTTTTCATGCATGACCACTTTTCATCTGAGATATTTTTATATGACCCTAGATATACAGGTATACAAATGGCTCAAAGATTTACTGAAGAGAAATCATAAAGAAGTTATTTTAAAACAATTCTTTGGAATACACATACTTCTAATTAAAGATGAAAGCCAGGTGGATACTGAGACATGGAAGGCTGTGTTTCTGAATATACAATCCAAATATGTACCACTTTGATGCTTAAATGAAGAGTATGGGAAATGTTAAATCTTTTCTACAACTGAGCCATCATGTCTCTGTGAGAGTGGAGAATGTATTTACAATAAAAACACGGTAGTTTAAAACATACTTGTGAGCCAAGGCATTTCGGTTCATGTTTCCTGGAGTTGTGTGGTGCGATGTAATCATGGCGGGAAGGAAATGAGAGCTTTCACAGCAGCTGCACCCAAGTCACCTGAGGCAACCTGAGTGAGCGCTGCCACAGACATCTTGGATTCATACACATTTGATTCAGAATTAATTTTTGGTTATCACATAATCAGGAAACTTTCAGTATCAACAAATTTTTCACAGCCTCTACACCAATTTACATGATTCCATGTGGATTCCACAGTTTAAGATCAGTGCCTGTGCTGCACCAGGCTCTGGAAATTGAACCCATGACCCTGCCCCTCTCTGCATGCATTATACCACAGTGGTGTGCTACCAGCCCGACATCTCCTTTTCATTGTTTCGTTTGTTCTGTATATACTTGATGTCATTTTTGTATGGTTACGTGTATATATGCCTGTCTTTTGCTCATAATAATACAAGCCATGCGTAAACATGTATTCCACTATGGATTTTTGTTTCTGTTGTAATTCATTGGAAAAGTTTCTAATCATTGTTTTAATTACAAGATTAACACACAGGTAAGACTTTTGTGTTGATTTTTCCTTCTATCATAATACAGAATTCAAAAGAGGCTACATTTTTTATAAGACACTGATAAGACGTAGATACACATAAAACAGTGAATTCCCACTTGTTCCTAAGGCTGAGGACAACTTGGAGACAAATTTGTCATTCCAGGTGTTGGTATCATTTGAGGACATAGCTGTGGACTTTACCTGGGAGGAGTGGCAAGACCTGGATGCTGCCCAGAGGACCCTCTACAGGGATGTGATGCTGGAGAATTATAGCAGCCTGGTGTCCTTGGGTGAGTCGGACTCCTGTAATTCTCAGAGGTACCAATTGTACTAATTTGATGTTGTACATTTAAATTGGCATGGCAATGATACTCATTTATGAAGAACAGTGAAACTTTGTAATTGATGTTAGTTGATAGTGTATCAGCCCTGGAATCACTTGTTTGTATGGGGATCACTTAAAATCTCTCTGATGTTATTTTGAAATACTCAGTTGGTGTCATCTATATGTGTACGATACTACTGTAGAGCTTATGTTATCCCTCCCTTCCTAATATACCCCGTTAATGCTTACCTTCTTTTTTCCATCTCTCTATTTCTGTATCTTTCCCTCACAGTGGTAGAGCTGTTGTTTTACTCTCTGATTGAGGCCACCTTTGGTTTGCAAGTATGATGAGAGCATAGAAGATTTCATTTTGTGCCTGACATATTTCATCTTCATATTGTAACTTTCCTGGAGAGACATAGGAAAAATGTGCTTGCTCCAAATATGGATGGAGTTTTATTGCCCAAAGAAAGATTTCATCAATGCTCGGTGACTATATGAGTTTATTGGGTTTATTTAGTTAGTAGTTGTGACTCTCAGGTGTGCAAAAAACAAGAGCAAAAAAAAAAAACCTCAACCGTAGTTAGTTTTTACTTACAGTTTACCAGTCTTCAATTGGGCAAAAGTGCCTGGGTTGGAATCTCAGCAGAGAAATCCATGATAGTCTTGTAAGGGAATGTTGCCAGTCCTGTTACCATCCAGAGCCCTAGAGATCTGCTGTGTAATTTTCTTCATTCTATTGCCATGACTTTGTGCCAAGACCATCCTGTGTTGGAAGACGGTGCCAATCATTTCAAGCCCAGAATACTAACCATACTACAGAATTAACAATTCCCCGAATGCCTGTCACTATGACACAATGTTCTGTTATTGTAAATTTATATTTGCCCCATTTCTCTACTTATGCTCCTTTGTTGAAGAACACTTATGTGCAGACTTCCCTGGGACACCAGTGTCACTTCCTTTGACTGTATACAGCCAACAGTGGGGCAGTGTTGATGTCATTCTGGGTCCATCACACTGAATTTTCAAGTGGTTGCTCTAATATGTATTGCTACTGCCTGTTTGTGTAAGTTTCTTAGCATTTTTTATTTCAGGCCTTAAAAGTACATTCTATATATAGTTCAGTAACAAGTCATTTTGGGAAAATCTTTCATTTTTACTTATAAACATATTTGTATGTCATGCTTGGGAAATATAAATTTGGGCTATTTGCCTAGATTTAATGAGATCTTTTCCTTTTGTATTGAGTGGATGATATCCTTATATAGTCTAGAAATTAAATGATCGCTTGCTGAATAAATAATTTGCTAGTATTTTCTCATCCTAAGCATGTACTAGTCATGACATTTAGTCTGGTGTAATCTCATTTGCTGACTTTACCTGTGGTGGCTGGATTGGCATAAATTAAGAGTATCTTCATCATTATCCTGAGTTTTACGATTCTATGATCCATTTTTATTTGATTTCTGTATATGGCATGAAAGGGGTCCAGTCCCTTCTCATAGCATGTAAATATCCATGTTTGAAAAATTCATGACAGCTTCTTTCTGAATGTGAGTTCTAAAACCTTTGTTGAAAATCCGGTTACTGCATGTACTTATCAGTTCCCCAGCCCTCTGACGCCATGGGGGAGGGAAAGTCTCAAGGAGGAAAGACGGTGCTTTAGCTCCAGGAGGGCAGAGGTGTCTTTCTGGCCTTTTCACATGGATCCTCTGTTGAGGAAGAGCCTCTTGCGGGGAACACAGTTCAGAGCAGAGCTTCTCAGATCCTTTCAGTAGCAGCAGAGATAGATGACACTTCAGTACCTGCACGAAGTGTGTTCCAGTGAGCTTGCTTCCTTCTCCCGATCTTTACCTGCTAACTGCATAGCAGACCGGTGACTGGCACCTCCTAGCCTGGTCTCTGGAGTACTAAGTATGCATGGGTTTTGCTTTGTTTTATTCTTAACTGTGTGTACAGAGTGTTTCGTGCTGTGTCTCTGGTATGAATCTCACATAATCATATTTTTGTAATAGCGATGTCCTCGTCTGCTCCATGTTCTATTCTGTGGAGATTATTTAAATCTTTAGTTGTTGGGGGTATTGGATCTATCATTTGGATGTGTCCATGCCTGGATTTGAAATCATTGTAATGGCTAGTATGTAAAGTTCCTGTAATAGGTGTTCATTTATAAGCAACTTTAGACTTCCTTCTTTGTGTTTTTAGAATTTCCTTTGTCTCAGAGTTTTGCCAGGTGGATGTAATGTGATACACAATGATTTGTTGATCCAAATCTATTAAGGCCCCTTGGATATGCCTGTCTATGGTGTTATATCCATCCTCTTTCCTTCTGAAACACAAAAAAGTAATGCAGATGCATGTTTTCTTAGAAGGACCATGTTTCCATATATATTTTTTAAAATTTATTTTTAAAAGTTTTATGTGTATGGGTATTTTGCTTTCTTGTATGTCTATGCACCACTTGTGTGCCTGGTGCCCTTGGAGGCCAGAAGAGGGTGTTAGACACGTTGGAACTGGAGCTAGAGATGGTTGCGATCCACCATGTGGAGACTAGAAATAAAACCTCATCCTCTGGAAGAGCAACCGCACTCTTAGCTACTGAGCCATCTCTCCAGACCCTTAACCCCCCCCCCCTTTAATCAGCCTTTGTTTATTGTTACAGTAGCCGGTCTTTGTGTCAGTGTTTTTCCCTACTTGGTCATTTCAGCTGTGACATCTTCCTGCTTTTTAATTTTTTTCCGTCCACATCAGCTGAATTTTTCCCTTATAAATCTTTCGGGTAGTTCTTTTTTTACGATTACTTTATCTCTGTTTAATTTATCCTAACTAACAGACAAACTGTCTGTCCAATTTTATTGTATCTTCTTTATCATTGTTTACTAGGAGTTTCTTTTGTTCCTGTGTGTATTTTTGGGGTGGGGGGATTTCAAGACCAGATTTCTCTGTGTAACAGTCCTGAGTGTCCTGCAACTCTTTCTGTAGACCAGGCAGGTCTTAAACTCACTAAGATCGACCTGCCTCTGCCTCCTGAGTGCTGGAATTAAAGGCGTGCACCACCACCACTCAGCTCCCTGTTGTTTGTGTGTGAGTGTATGAATACATGGGGTATGATCATACATGTATGCGGTTGCCCATGGAAGCCAAGGAAGGACATGAGGCATTCCTCTCTACTGCTCTCTGCCTTGTTCACCTGAGACTGTACTTCTCACTGAACCTGGAGGTAGGCTGGTAGCTAGCTGTTCCCAGAAATACCCCTTGTCCACCCTCTGCAATATTGGGTTTACAGGTGTACGTGCCGCTATGCCAGCACTTCACGTGACTGCTGAGGAGTGAACTAAGTTTCTCATGCTTGCATAATAAGGCTTTTACCCACTATGCCACCATCCAATCTCCCCTTTGAGGTTTCTTCAAATCATTACTTAAATGTCACTGGGGGACAGCATTTCAATCAGTGGAGAATGTGAGTGAAAATCTACTTTAATAAAAATTTGTAATTCACTTAGAGCTAGGGATATAGCTCAGTTGATAGTGTACTTTCCTACCGTGTGCAAGGCCACAGGGTTAATCTCCAATCCATCAAAGAAAAAAGGAAGGAAGGAAGGAAGGAAGGAAGGAAGGAAGGAAGGAAGGAAAGAAGGGAGGACATTTCTAAATCATCCATTGTTGCACAGTCCCCAAGATGGAGCTCCTGCCTGTCTTCTATCAGCGGTCTTGATTACCACATTGTTACAACCTGTATATTGTTTCTCATTCCCAGGGCACTGTATGACCAAGCCTGAGTTGATCTTCAACTTAGAACGTGGACTTGGGCCCTGGAGCACAGCAGATGCCTCAGTCTGGAACCTCTCAGGTCAGTGAATGCTATGAGGTGAGAGGGCAGTAACACAGAGACCATCAGATATTGTTCCTTTTGGACTGTTTTCAACAAGTTTCATCTAAGCCCAGTCTTGAGGACAGACACTTGTTTTATCCAGTTCCCCCCAAATTCTATGTGTTAAACTACCAGTGTCTTGGTGCTGAAGAATGTCTTTTCTTTGTCTGGCTGCTCTTTGGGATAATTCAGTTACTTTACCTGGGTCTTCAATTGTGCTTCTTCTCTCCCCTTTATTACCACATGTTTTAAGTTAGGAATTTATTGACATTATTTCACCACTGCCTTTTGACTAGCATTGTCTTGGCAATTATCACCATACTTAATCACACATAGATGCATCTCCTCTTACAATACTTCCATTAGTGTGAGGAAAGTACAGCAAAGGGGTGATGTATCGTGGCGAGGTAAGCAGCAGAGAATGTTTATCGGGAGCAGAGGGGGAAACACGGGGCTTTAGAGGGAGGAAATATTAAAGAATTTTTTGTCTATTTCAGTTTTACTTTATGATAACTATTTTCCAAATTTGCTATAAAATGCACATGTGGATTTAAACTTAAGACTAGATAGGCAACAAGATTATTAAAAATTAGTAGCCACACCCGGCATTGGTGTGGCATGCCTTTAATCCCAGCACTCGGGAGGTAGAAGCAGGTGGATCTCTGAGTTTGAGGCCAGCCTGGTCTCCAGAGCGAGTGCCAGGATAGGCTCCAAAGATACACAGAGAAACCCAGTCTTGAAAAACCAAAAAAGAAAAAAAAATAGTAGCCAAGCAAGAGTTTTGTTTGGCTGTAGTTGGGTCACCTGTGGCATTTTTAAGAGAACTGAGAAACGAGGACGTCAGAAGTTGCAGCGTTGAACGGCACACAAGCAGCTCTTTTCATGCTGTGTGAATGTGAAGTCAGGGTTACAGAGAAAAGGAGAAAGCACTGAGCAATCACTAAACACCGGAGAAATAATTCCAAAGCCTAGGAGTATTCAAATGAATAGGTGAACGAAGCAAAGTGCCTATACAGAGAGAGAGCTGATCAGTAAAGTGCTTGCCTTCGAAGGCTACAGAATGGAGTTTCTGTCCACAAATATAAAAATTAAAAAATGGTTTGGTGTTCCATGCTTGTTAACTTGTTGCTTCTGAGGTGGAGACAGGCAGATCCCTGGGGCTCCATGGTCAGCCAGTCTCGTAACTGGTGAGCCTCAGGTCCCCACGAGAGACACTGTCTCAAACAAGATAAACAACCTGAGGTTCACCCTCTGAGCTCCCCATGTGTGTGTACACATGTTCAAAGAAGCAAACACACTGAATGTTCACCCACATGAATATCCATGTATAATGTCAGTTTAATTCTTGCAGGGAAATCTCAGCTTCTTAGTTGAGAAGTTCAGCAGAGTGATTCTGAAAAAGATACAATCTCAGGTCTTGGAAGAAAGAAGCTAAATTAAAAATAAACAAACATAAAACACTTTTGAAAGTAGACAATGTGGAAGAAAGAATACCAGTGACTTGTTTGAAGGCAGTATTGTAACTACATAGGAATAAGAGAAAAAAATCAGAGCAATCATAAGCAGGACTAGACTGGAGTGTTATGAGCTCTCCATTCTGTGAATCTTATATTACGCAGTGAACTGAGAGTAAGCTCAACAGAAAACGTATTCCATGAAATTAGTGTAGAATATTGTACAAATTGTGGCCAAGAAACAGTTGTCCACATATATGGCATTTATAACTACAAGTTAATAGATGCTGCAAATACTTTCTCAATAGTCATGAGAGTTAAGATGCCTAGAGGATGGAATATGGGCAGAGTATTGAAAATTGTAAGCAGGAAGTGTAGTTAGGGTGTTTTTGTTTGCTGGTTTGTTTGTTTTTTTTTGTGTGTGTGTTTGGTTTGATTTGGTTTTTGAGACAGGATCCCACTGTGTAACTCTGGTTGATCTGGAACATTATGTAGATCAGGCTGGCCTTGAACTCACAAAGGTCCTCCTGCTTTTGCCTCCAAAATGCTGGCATTAAAGACATGTGACACCACACCCAGGTAATTATTTTTTAATATAATCCTACTATCATAGGATTATATTGATCTGTTTTCCTTTTTAAAAAATAATTTATTTAACGTGCATTGGTGTAAATGTGTCAGACTCCAGGGAACTGGAGTTACAGACAGTTGTGAACTGACATGTGGATATGGGGAATTGAACCTGGGTCCTCTGGAAGAGCAACCAGTTCTCTTAACCCTTGAACCATCTCAGCCCCCATAGTTGATCTCTTAACAGAAACTCTGAATCCTAGAAAGTATAATCTTTGGTGTTTTAAGCCCTGAGTACGCAAACTGCCAATTGAGATTATTTTATGAGGCAAAGTCTAAAATTGGAGAATGTCATGAATTTCTGTGGAAAGCATAAATGGAATGACTCCATGAATGCCAACCCACTATTACAGAAGATATTTAAAACAAACAAAACAACAAAATTCTTTTCATAAAAGCAAGCCACAAGCAATATTTCTCATTAAAAAAAAAAATCATTCCCAGAAAACCCCATGGAGGATTCTGCTGTTCTTTATCAAAGCAAGTATACTAACTGAAACACAATAGCAATCCTTTCACTAATCTTTGACAGCAACGATTAGGAGACAGAATATTTGATAACATCTAAGTCCTAAAGGTAGCTAGTGGAAGAGAGTTTCCATGTATTACATATTACATATTACAAAGAGACATGACATTATACATTCAGATAATAGAGAGACAGGACAGGTAGAGGAGTGAAAGGGGAATACAGCTATAAAGAAACCTACAGATAAAAAATGGGTGAGCGTCTTACCGCCATGTGTTTTAACAGTGCAGCAATACAACAGAGAACCAGGACTTAATACTGTAATGCATCTTAGTGTACTATGTTATTCTAATTCATTAAAGACTAGGGTGTGGGGCCTGGAGAGATGTCTCAGTGGTTAAGAACACTTGCTGCTCTTCTAGAGGACCTATGTTCAATTCCCAGCAACCACATAGCAGCTCACAACTGTCTAACTCCAGTTCCAGGGGGCCCAACACTCTCACACAGAATATATTTAGGCAAAACACCAGTGTACATTAAATAAATAAACAAATCTTTTAAAAAAGACTAGCATGTGTACAGTTATAAGATGGTATTTTAGAAGTTCAAATGTAAACTGGGTGGTTGTAGTACATGCCTTTAATCCTAGCACTTGGGAGGCAGAGACAGGTGAATCTTTGATTTCCAGGCCAGCCTGGTCTACAGAGTGAGTTCCAGGACAACCAGTGGTATGCAGAGAAACCCTGTCTCATAAAACCAAAAAATAAAAAATAAAAAATCAAATGTGATGATCAAAAGGCACTGTTTTACTTTTGTATTTGAATAGCATAAAACTTGTGCCCAATTCATGGAAATTGAATTTTTTAATATTTTCAGGTGTCAACAAAATGAGTAGCCTGGTTGAGGCTGGCCAGAAAAATGGAGGTAGACATTTCTGGCAAATTGAAATCAACAGCAATACTTCAAACGAAGAACTCGTTGAAGTAGGTAAAACTGATGTGATCACAAACTGTCTTGATTGGGTTCATTTTCTCTTTGAGCTAAAGTATGGAAAGGCAAGAAAGAAAGGAAAGGAAAGGAAAGAAAGGAAGAAAGAAAGAAAGAGAGAAAGAAAGAGAGAGAAAGAAAGACAGGAAACATCATAAGTGCAGCAGCTAGTATCAAGGGACTATCAGACAGCAGACAGATCCACTGGTGAAGAATGGCTATTACTAGGGGTGAGGAAACACACAGCAAGGCACACAGAGAAAGACCCCTGCAGAGCCAAGGGGGCCCCAGGAGCCTGAAACCCAGATTCTAGCTAAGGACTTGGGGGCTCCAAGGGTGTTTGAGGGATCTCCCTCCCCTAATTTAGTGTTAGTTCGTTTGAACAAAGACAGAGTGGCTGATAGACCCATAACAATGGTATAAACATGTACTGATCCATCCTTGAACTTTTTCCTACTATTACCAAGGCACTCTACTGGCAGCAGAAGAAGCCCACTTGGGCTTTCTTTTAAGCTGCCATGCATTTATCTCAGGTCAGGAAGGTGAGAAAGAAGCTCCCATCCTGGAAGTTTACCAA